CCTACTACAAATTAGAGGTGAGCCCAAAAGAGCTGCTGTCTGCTCTTGTCTTTATATTTTTGGTTTGTTTGTTTTTTCCAATATTCTCTTTTGGGTATGTGGTTGGATTACATGCAACCCCATCTGAGTATTACGGTGCTCCTCTCCTCCTATGAACACACACACACTCAAAGGTCTGACCCTTGATTCTGATTTTTCACTTTTTGCTATCTGAACAGGTGCACGTTTGTTGCTGCAGCACTAACAGGCACTCCTCCCCGTTGATTTATATCTCCTGTAGGTTTATTAGCAGCAGCAGGAGACCAGACTGAGGAGCCAGGACTGAGCCACCAGGGTAATGAGTCAGAGAAAAGGGAGGGAGGAGAGGAGCACAACTGCCCCTCAGCAGCTTCTCTTTGCAGCCAAACAACACTGTGTCCCCATCTGTCCATGGCATACATGCACATGAATCCCATTTCCACATTTATCAGAACACATGGTTCATCATCTCCCTCACAAGCGATACATGCAATTGAATACCCCGTTACTGCACATAAATTCATGTTAAACTTTTCTAAAATACACACACATCAATCCTTTGCCTTTTATTTTATTTTTATATGCCCTAAAGATGGGCAGCTGAGTGACTCCAGCAGCTCCGACAGAATACATCTGACTGCTCGCGTCTCCTGGTGGATTTAATCTGTTATGTCCCAGCAAAGTTGTTTTACCTGCACTGTTGTTAGGCATCTGGACTTGCCTGCTCGTTGTGGCTGCTGTCACAGTAACAACTTCAACTAGAGGCTGAATTTTGAAGCAGCTGATGTGGGAAGTGTGCCACACGCAGCTCCTCTTCTTCATTCTTCACAGAAGATCTTTCCAGATGGAGCTTCGCATTTTATTATTTCTTTTTTTTACCAACTCCCTCTGTTCATAGATGGAAATTAAGGAGATGCTCTGTCACATTCGGCCGATATCTTCTTGCGCTTGAACGCCTAACACACTCTGTGCAGTGCTGGTGGTATGTGTGTCTTTAAAGGAAGCCTTTCTATTCAAACAGCAGAAGATCCAGGTCTCTGTCCCTCCCCCCTCTCCTCTTTACAGCACTGCCTCTCCCCCCCCCCCCCTTTTTTTCTCCCCCCTCCCCCCTTATAAGGGGCTCTCAGTGTGTTGCCATGGAGACAGCCACATGGGTGTGTTGTTCCTGTTTGTCTTTCAGGTGCAAACGCTGTACTACTCACCTGACCATAAGCTGGTGGATGGAGGGCTGGTGATTGAGGGGCACAGTGAGGTGTTTGGTGGCGAGGAGGACCACCTTCAGTTTGTGCAGGTACTCAACAGCTTGTGCCTGGCTTCACCGCCTCTACCACACTTTGCTTGGCAGCGTGCGGCATACAGCTTGTGCCTGACCATGCATCAAAGAACTACATGGTCCCTTTCTGGCTAAAAGTCTATATGGCTCATTTGTACCATAATTTAGCCACAATGTAAGAGCTAATGTAACGTAGAACATGACCAATGATGCCGGCCTGGCAGTGCTGTTGAGCATATGTTAAAAGCTCTCTGTGTTTATTAAGCTAATCTCAGCCAGCTGAGCGTGGACAGTTGCTGTTTCAGGTTTTTATCAGCCTCCTTTAAATTGTGTGGTGGTCTGACACTGCTGTAGTAGCTGCTGTAGCTGGCTTCAGATATGGGGAGGTGAGATTTTGGTACTTGCTCCGGCAAGATCATGCTACGTCTACGTTAGAGCAGCTGGATCAAAGAGTAGGCTGGGATGGAATTGGTTGGCGTTGGCCACTGTTGGGGCCTGTGGTGCAAGCTTGGTTTCTGTAGCTGCAATATACTCTTGCAGAAGAAACCTGTACGGGAGAGCGACCAGCGACAGATGAGCTGCAGCTCTTCAGGAAGCGTGTCTCCCTCCAACCAAGCAGCAAACGCCCCAAAGCAGACCGCCAGGAGAGAGTGGAAATACATCGCCTCTGAGAAGACCGCAAGTAAGTCCATTAACTGTGCGATCAGAACTTGCCTTTGGGTGGAATAAACGCCACATGCTGTACATGAAAAGCAAACTTTTTGTTGCCTAACCATCTCTAATCTTACTCCTAGGCAACAACTACTTGTGTCTGGCTGTGCTGGACGGTGTGCTGTGTGTGATCTTCTTGCACGGTCGCAACAGCCCTCAGACATCTCCCTCTGCCACTCCCTGCTTGATGAAGAGCCTCAGCTTCGAGGCCCAGCCAGAAGAGCTCGAAGAGCAACCGCTCTCACCCATGCATTATGCTCGCTCCGGCCTGGGCACCGCAGCCTTGAATGGAAAATTCATTGCAGCAGGTTGGCAAATCATCCATTAGCCTTACTGCTTTCTCTGTCGGTGGGGTGTGTATTTGTAGGTTATAGTGCAGCACGGACAGACGTACACACGTTGTTCTCACTGGACATGTAGGTTTTGCACTGATTAATATTTTGAGTTTATATAAGGGAGTTATTGACTGTGGTGCCTCTTTGTGTTCCTGCAGGGGGCTACAACAGAGAGGAGTGTCTGAGGACTGTCGAGTGTTACGACCCCAAGGAGGACCGCTGGACTTTCATCGCACCCATGCGGACTCCGAGGGCTCGTTTCCAGATGGCTGTGCTCATGGTAGAGTTTTAGCATTTATCTTATCTCAGGTTCATTTGTTCTGGATTACAGAGACATTTTAATATCCGCCCGGGAGCGTAGCTGCACCTGTTCAAACAGGATTAGTTGTCCTGTTTAAGTATTTCTCTACTCCTCGTGTTCAAATATGTTTGTTACATTTCTGTTAGTTGGCACTTGATGTTGCAAAAATTGGAAGTGTGAAAGGGTCTAATGACCTCTTGCAGGGTCAGCTTTACGTGATTGGAGGTTCAAACGGACATTCTGATGAGCTGAGCTGTGGGGAGAAATACGATCCTCGCACTGATGAGTGGACTCAAGTACCAGAGCTGAGGACGAATCGCTGCAACGCAGGTCGGTCCACTGTGCATGCATGTAACTTTTTTTCCATGTCTAGAAAAAAAGTGTCTGAAGTCTTCAACTCGTCGCTTTCATCTCTCTTAAAGGCGTCTGCTCCTTGAACAACAAACTCTATGTTGTGGGAGGGTCGGATCCCTGCGGGCAGAAGGGTCTGAAGAACTGTGACGCTTTTGACCCTGTGGCCAAAACCTGGACCAACTGTGCCTCCCTCAACATCAGTGTGTATCCACAGTGGATTTTGACTTTTTTGCAGCCTGAGGTGAGATGAAAAGCTGTATTCATTAAGCGAATATGATTTCAGGGAGGCACCAGGCAGCAGTGTGCGAGTTGGACGGCTTCATGTACGCGATTGGAGGGGCAGAGTCGTGGAATTGCCTGAACACCGTGGAGCGCTACAACCCCGAGAACAACACCTGGACTCTGATAGCTCCCATGAATGTGGCTCGCAGAGGGGCCGCCGTCGCCGTTCATGCAGGTGAGTCCACAGATACGAAAAGCTAGACCTGCCTTTCAGACTGATCCGTTCTCGGTCAGACTTCCCTGATGTTGGCATCTCTGGCTCTCGATAGGCAAACTGTTTGTTGTCGGCGGCTTCGACGGCACCCACGCTCTTCGCTGTGTGGAGATGTACGACCCCGCCCGCAACGATTGGAAGATGCTGGGCAGCATGACATCGTCTCGCAGCAATGCGGGCGTGGCCATGCTGGGCGACACAATCTACGCCGTGGGCGGCTTCGATGGAAACGAGTTCCTTAACACGGTGGAGGTATACAACCCCGAGATGGACGAGTGGTACGACTGCGCCAAAGCCCCGTCTCCCCTCTCTGACTGAAGAGGGAAGACCGGGAGGAGGGAGAGCAGGGGATTGGCGTTTCAGTGCTTCACCTATTTTTATTTTCCCCCCAAACTAACAGGCTTAGTGACGTAATCGTGTTTCGTGATGATCTGTGTGTATGAGCGGATACGTGTGGGGGTGGGGGGACGGGCGAGGGGTCTTCAGTGAAGATCGACTTATATGTAGGGGGGGTGGGGGGGTTGTTGCCCAAAGCAACATGACGCCTTTGCATATTGCATACAATGGTTTTTGTGCTGTATATATTTAGTTTCTTCCTCATTTCTGTCATATGCCAACACATTTAGTGCTTCTTTTCCCCCCTTACATTTCAAAGGTTTGTCACCTTTGAGGTTTTCACAGAAACGTTCGACTTTTGGTTACTTAAAAGGTGGCTGTATGGAGTGGTTTTGTTTTCATTTAAGAATATTTCTGTTGGGGGAAATGTAAGTTTGCTCACACATTTAAAGGTCAGTAGTTTGAAGCCTTACTCAAAAGTGCGAGTAGATAAACACCTATCATGGCTTTTTGTGTCATTTTAAACCAGCTGGGTTGCTTTTTGGATCTTAAATGATGGCCTTTTTTTATATTTTTTTATACACTGCTGATTTACCAGTTTAAAAATAAAAAAAATAGTAGTAGCAGAGAGCTTCAGTCATTGACTCTAACCAGTGCCAGATTTAGTTGCATTCACGTGCACACACACGCACAAACCATGCTTCTGCTAACTACATTTTTGTTTTTGTGACTTAAGAAATTGATGTATGTAGACATGCAGTTTACTAAAAATCTTTTCTTTTTTTTCCCGTCTTGGGTTTAAAGTGTCAGGCATTGGCAGATTCTTCTGGAAGGATTGTTAGAGCAAGAAAATGACCACATTTGTAACATTTCTTAATAAATCATTTAAACCAGATTCTTTTGGCGTGATGTGTCATAATTTGAGATGAATCATCAGTTTGCAAATTCTGACATTAATCAAGTAATTAACAAAGTATCGCTCGATAACAGACTGTATCGAGACCCTAACTTTTGCTGCCACCTCATCTTCCTCTAGTTCTGCTCCTGAGTAATTGCTGTGTCCTGTTCACTGCTAAGCTTTCACTGCCACCATTTTCCACAGTGACTACCACACTAAGCCAGGTTTTTTTTTTTTTTTTTTTTTTTTTTTTTTTCCCCTCCCAAGTGTCTTTTAGTGGAGATTATGCTAAGCTGGCTAACAGACATCAGCAGGAAGGGATGACGACAGTCATTCTGGATAGTGGAAGTGTTGAAAGAGGACTGCCTGACCTCGTATCACTGCCTGCCTGCTGGAGCTGGTTTAATCCCTGCCCTGCACTCAATTCACAACTTGGTCACTGGTAACTTGTATGGTGGGGTAAATGGGCTAGTATAAGTATGTGTGGCTGTACACTTTTCTCTTGCATTGTAAAGTGGGATCATGACTAAAGAGCTGAGAGCATCGACATGTGTTGAAGTATTTTAAACTCTTACCTGATCATTTACAATTATAACTTTGATAGTTTTTCTTCCAGTCATTTTCTAATTACAACGTCACAGCGAGGTCCCTCGACAGCTACAAGTTTAAAAGAAAGGCTCTGTACATTTTTCTAAATGACTAAGCTGAGACAGGAAGTTGGGGTCCTCATTACCTGTCCTTTCACCATCTTCCACCTCTCCCTGCATGGTGTCTGATGCTTCAGCCTCTGCTTGTGTCACACTACCAGCAGGTGTATTCTAAGCCTGTCTGCTGGCATCACAGGCATATAATCCCCTTAGTCACCCTTCACACACACGCATGACCACGCTCGGGCTGACGATCACAGCAGCGCTCTGCACATGCGAACGCTACCTTGGGAAAGAAAACGTGATGCGTCTCTTTAGTGATTCAAAACCAAGCAACAGTAAAAAAAAAAAGTTCTTTACTTGACAACTTAGCCAACAATAAGTTTAGATGTCAAAATGGGCTCTTAAAAAAAAATGCACTGAACAATCTCAGCATTCATAAGAAAAATAGTGTTTTATGGCTGTAACCTGAGCCTCGTGGTGAAAACGGTCCTTTTCTGTTCACTGACCTGCTGGTTTATCATGAAAGGGTTTTTGTCCTGATCTACATTAAAGAATTATGTTCAGGCGTCAGCTTCATACTGAATGAGAGCGACATCGATGTGAGTTAAACAACGTCAACAGATTAAGCTCTGTAAGAAGCTGTCAGGTAATCAGAAATGATTTAAAAACAAACCTAAATAAATGCAGGCCTTTAAATAACAAATGGTACATGTTTTATTTTTATTAAAAAAATATTTCAAGTAAAAATGTTTTGTCATTTAACTAATCACTCTAAACAAAATAATATGATTTTTTAAAATAGATTTAAATATTTATAAACTAAATTTCACCTTAACTCACCAAAACTCATTCAGGACACAAGTGCAAAGCTATTAGAGAATAATGAAATCTGTACTTGCTGAATTATACAAACCAGCTGTTACAGCATTAAACAAACCTTCAGAAAACAGCGTTATCTCTGTAACATGAGCTTTATGGATGGAGAACAAAGGCAGAAACGGGCACAGCACGAGCAGATGCGCCTTTAACTCGACAGCTTTGAGTTCAAGTTAAGAATCTGTCACGTCGAGGAATCAGTTTGGTTGATGAGCAACGTTCCTGACGGTGCTACGTGGGGAACGTCGTGTATTGACCTGCAGCTTGAACACAGTGTTCCAAGGCCTCTTGAAGCTCCATTAACTTGGTCCCTCCCACCCTGAGCTTCTCCCTGGGAATACGAGAAAACAGAGAAAGACATGAGTACAGAGAAGGGAGTGGCATCCACCTCTCTCACACAGCTTTGCCTGTATGGTTTAATTAGATCCACTAATAGAGCCACTAAAGCGGACTTGTTCACTTTATAATCCAGAGGCAGATATTAACCCTTCAACTACACTTTCCTGTCGTTCGGCTTTTACACAAAGTACACGGAGACTGAAAGGCTGGGATGGAAAACAGATCGATGAGTGAATTTTGAGTTATAAGATAAGCGTTCAGTGTTGTGAAACTGGAGGATGTGCAGAACATCCACCAGGATCAGGTGACCCTGAATCCTCCCTTAGTTATGCTGCAACAGGTGTAGGCTACTGGGGGAGTCCCATGATGCACTGGGTGTTTCTTCTTCACTCACTATGTGTCAACAGAACTCTCTGCACTGAATCATATTTGTTATTAACCTCTGTATCTCTTCCACAGCATGTCTTTCTTCTCTCACACCAACCAATCACAGCAGATGGCCCCGCCCCTCCCTGAGCCTGGTTCTGCCGGAGGTTTCTTCCTGTTAAAAGGGAGTTTTTCCTTCCCACTGTCGCCAAAGTGCTTGCTCATAGGGGTGATATGATTGATGGGTTTTTTTCTGTATGTATTATTGTAGGGTCGACCTTACAATATAAAGCGCCTGTATAAATAAAATTGAATTGAACATTTCAACAGAAAGGTGTCAAACGTACGGCACTTTGGTCACAGGAATGCACTCTCCACCAGTACACAGTGTTTAAGATGGGCTAAGCTTTACAAAAGGAACCTTGTGTGTGACACTTTTTCTCTCAGGAGAGATGCCATCCATCCCACTCTGGATGGAGCAGCTCTCATTTCTAGAAATCTGGCCAAATTTATTAAAACCCCCGAAATGTGACTATCCAGAGCTGGGAGCAGAAAGCAGAGTTGCAGTCTTCAATGCCTCTCTGCAGCTTCCCTCCTCCTGTTATCCCCTAAACCCATCCCCTTAGAGACTGCGTCAGCTCTCAAAAAGACAAAAAAACCAAACTAAAAATCAGCAACAAACAACTTAAACATAAAACCCTGAGAACCCCGCTCCAGAAATGTCTCTTAGTGTGCGACAAGGAGTTGAGAGCGGACAACGATCTAATCTCCAAAAAGCCTGTGGCTAATGAAATGTTTTAAGCCTGATCGTGTCAATGGGAATGGAGGTCAAGTTGAGATCTGGAAGATCGCAGCACTTTTCAAGAAAACTGCTCACAGGACAGCAAGAAAGGAAAACCTGTTTCACTTAAAAAGACCTGGAAGCACAGTCGGGCATGGCGCTGCACCGTTCTTATCTGCGGCATAAATATGACCTTCATGGAAGAGTCATTGGGAAAAGTCTGTTCCTGTGACCTCCCCATAAAAGTCTGCAAATGAGCATCGAAACAAGCCTGTGGACTGATGAACTAAACAACAGGAGTCTCTAAGGGCCCTGAGTAAAGACGTTGCAGCAAGTGGCACAGGGAACATTTCAGTGGTGAGATGAAGAATGGTTTGTAGGTAAACAACGACAGTTAAACACTTCTGATCACAACACTACGGATGATCCTACCAAACCTGATAATTCACAAGGTGTTGTCTCTAGAAACAAAAGCTAAAGGTTTAGACACGTCCTCGCCGTCCACCAGCAGAACGTTTCATCATCATCAGGTGACGTCTTCAGTCTCAGCTGACTGCAGGTTTCCAACCTTATAAACAGGACATTTGCACACTGACTGACACCAGCACCACTGAATGAACAATGGGCTCTGAGGTCAGTTCCTTGATTATTAATATGCAAATTGTCATGATCATTGATCAGCAACCATTGATCAAAGACCACTGATCAATGGCCATGAGTACCATTCACATTGCTCCTTCAGTGGGTTAGTTTCAGTCTTTGCACTGCAGCCCTCCACCCCCCAAAAAACCCCTAAATAACCCGAAGGCACTCAAAACCTTTAAAAGCTGACAGTCACCTAACAGAGTGGTGCCGTGCACACACCACGAGGTGCCCCAACGTTTGCTTAAGGCTCTTTTTCCTATTTGTAATTTTGAAACTGTGAAAGTTGAAGTTAGAAATAATCAACACGTCGTCTTGAATTGATGCCTGAAAATGAAACCGAACATGGCACCGTGTGGATGAATCCAGACTTTTCTACGCTAACAGTTTGATCACTGAACTTTGGATGTGCTGATCGCACTCGCCACTCACAACAGACAATCCTGCTTCTGTGTACACGGCAGCTTCCAGAAGCTCTGGATTTCACTGGCAGCTATTTAAGCACATTTCCCTCAGCTGAGCTAATTTTTTTTTGGTAACACTGCTACAGTACAGCACATCCAGGCAGTTGCAAACGCACATAACGAGGGTTCGGCATGCACAGACATGCAAACTGGCTGCTGAAATCTTGGCAACAGCTGCTTAGCAGCGGAGACGCTGAGGGAGCTTGTTGCTCGTTGGCCTTTTTTCTTTGTTTTCACTAGATGATTGTGCAACTGCAGGAAGGAGAGGAATCTGCTGACTGCTATCCATCCACTTCCCGTCCCTCACCCCAGGGTGCAGCTGTGTGTTTTTGGAGCCTGTGGAAATGGGTACAGGCTGCTCCCAGGATGTGCTGATTGGTGGCAACTGGGCTGGTTTTGCATTCCAGAGCGCGCCATGGACAGACAAGCTTCCCTCAAAGTGTTTCCACTGACAAACTACTGCGACACGTTTGTCACATCGACAGTGTGTACACAGGGAAGGGCTGCTGTGTTACATAACAGCCTACATGTGTTTGACAGGTAGTTAATGCATGTCCCCGGGAGACACTAATGATTTGCACTCAACTGAAAATAGGACCACGTGATGATGTGATGTTCTAAAGCAGAGCATCATGTGATTAGCAGGAGCAGAAAGCCTCCGATTGTATTCCATCCCCTCTGATGGCGCTAAGAACATTTAGGATCTTGCATCTGAGCAAAAAGCATCACAACAGTAACAATAAAGACGAAAATGGTTGCATTTATATCCATGTTTCCCTTTTCCCCTCACCGGTCCTGCCAACAAGCACAGAGAAATCTTTCTTTGTCACTGTGATGCGGACAAAGAATTCTAATTACTGATCAATAAGAAGATTTTTTAAAGTGTCCGATGAACATAAAGAGCAAGCGAAGGCGGTGCGTTCAAATTAATGCAACACATGAAAACAAAGATTCATATTTCACTAACATCAGGCACGAGAGGGCAAAATAAAAGCTTCTATTACTGAAGGAGACCGATCTGCCTTATCAGACACACAGCAGCACTCGAGTATAATGAACAGAAAGTTAACTAATGGAACGCCCGAGGCTTTCTTGTGCTGAACGATGTGCTGTTCCCCACAGGCTTACAAAACGGCAGAGCGGCGTTTCCCTCTGGATGCTCCGTGTGACCGAGTTACATAAAACTAATGTGTAAATTTCATGACATGAGACGACGCCAGAAGGAGCCACCGCTAAATCTGTCGAGTGAGTCAGCGTATTATGCCAGAAACGATATGAAAGTTAAACATGGACGTGGCTAATGTGTGAACAAGCACTCTGTGATAACCGAGTCATTCGATTATCAGCTGCGGTAACCAACAGCCACGCTGCTCTGCACTAAAAGCCATCGGGCATCAACCTGACGGCACGTCTGCGAGTGAAAAATAATCCAGGTGTGGTGTCATCATCAGACCGATGACTCCATGAAAACAAAACAGATGTTTTCAAACAAGAGCAGAAGCAGGGCTGTGTGGATTTGAATATTTCTTGGAGCTGAGTGGATTTCAACAGAAGGCAAACTGAGCTGAGTCGCAGGACATCACATTCATTCAGTAACAGGACTGGAAGTTACAATCCCTGATAATTGGAGAAGGTCTTCAGGTATTGCTGTTATGAGGAAATGCAGCCCAGAAACGTTACCAGCGAGACACATCGTCGTGTGCCTCAACTTCACAGGGTGTTTCGGTCTTTCACCCAAAATAATCTGCCATTTTTACCTTCCTTGGTTAGCTTTAGGGATTAGAGATCTGATCTAGATTATCATATTAAAATGTGGGACACATCGTCAGTAGCGGACCTTGGATTCATCGGGTGTTTCGGCCATTATCGCCAGACACCCTCATCCAAGGAGGCCCTGCCAGGGTTGATCAGGCCCCAGAGTGCGTCACTGGTTTGTGTTAAGGCCCTGAGACAGCTGCATCGGTCAACTAGCACTCAAATGCTTCCTCAATTGCATCCTCCCACGCTACCAGCAGCTCAAAATCTGCCAAACATTTGCCTCTTTGTTCAAAATCTAGATGTCTTTCAGAAGCACATGTGACTGCCCACAAGCTCTGTGCTCGATTTGCACAATATCCTTTCTTACTAAACACACAATGGCATTCCTATATCACATAACAGAAAGCAGTACCCTTATTCCTGGTGCTTCTGTGCCAGTGCAGAGTAACAGACCTATCACTGATTATTTTTAAATGTGTTTTATAGTGTTATAAAAAGTATGTTATCGAGAACGATAAGCAACACAGAACACGTTTTATTTAACCTGACACAGTAAAATCTTATCAGCTGAAACCAGCGCCTCCCAAGGCCTTATATAACTCGTGACATAATACCACTGCACTCAACAAAGAAATCAAATATTTAACACTGCGCTCGCTAAGTGAAGTCCTAGATTGGTTCACGGCGAATGTAACAAATAAAACATTTAGGATCAAAACAAAGAGCCTGTCAGTGACGATCTGTGGCAACAAAAGCCAGAACGATGCGACTGCCAAGTGCCTGCAGAGCTCTTCTGGGAAGTGACACGGCACAAGCTGCCTTTAAACACTAAATAAAACATCTGACTTCACATGATTATTCCAGGCAAGAAAGTCACTGAAATACAGGAAAGTCATCTGATAATGCTCTCAGCTCTGATGACACAATAAGCAAGATCACAAAACGAGCCATTTTTCTCTCTCAACAGGTGATCCAGGAGTTTTTTTTTCTTTTTTTTAAGTTTCCTTTCTCACTGTCCCACTTCCCCTCTGTTTTTCTGTTCCTTCATCTTTCTTTCTCCCTTTCCTATCCCTCAGTCATGTCTGTCCCGTCTGTAACAACTGAAAATAAAATAAAATAAATAATAACAACAAAGGTCGATCAAATGGATCAATACAGTAAGGCCGTGATGATCCACTTGGTAAAGTAAATCCATTGGGTCTCCTTGTTGGCCTTCAGACAACAATTCTGATGGCAAAAAAACCAAACATCAAAAAAACCAAACGAAAAAACCTCGAGTCATCTCGGCCTCAAAACTTTCAGCACTTGTCCCAAAATCTCATCTTGAAAATTGATGATAGTGTCATAAATTGAGTCTCGTGTAAAAGAGATAACAAAGATTGAGGAACATAGCCAGAATCAGACGAATCCTTCAAGTAGCTCGGTGTCCACATCTCCTCAGACCTGACATGGGCTGCCCACATTCAGGTCCAGACCAAAAAGGCTAGGCAGCGCCTGTATCACCTACGACAACTGAGGAAGTTCAGGGTCTCTCCAGAGATCCTCAGGATCTTCTATACAGGCGCTGTGGAGAGCATCCTCACACAGAACATCACATCGTGGTTTGGGAACAGCTGTGTGAAGGACCAAAAAGCTCTCCAGAGAGTGATCCGTACAGCAGAACGCTGCTGCAGGATTGCTCTCCCCCCGCTTCAGGACACCTACACCAGGAGATGCCGGACTAGAGCAGATACTGAAGGACCCGTCCCATCCTGGCAACAAACTGTTCCAACTTCTGCAATCTGGTAGAAGGTTCCGCATCTTCCAGGCAAGGACAGAGAGACTCAAGAGGAGCTTCTATCCCCAAGCCATCCAGATGATGTACAGAAATCACCTGCTTGCTGCATACATGCTACTACTGCACATTCACCTAATGTATATATTATATATAATGTTCTCCCTCTCTCGCTCTCCGATCTCAGGACTCTGGCCTTCTAAAGGTTCCTAGAGCCAGAAAATCTGAGAGCGTGCTTTTTCTTTTCATGCCCGTTTCTATGGAACAACCTCCCTCAAGATATTAGGCAGGCATGCTGTGTGGAGGTTTTTAAAACTAAGTTGAAGACACATTTGTTCACCCTATCTTACGTCTTAATTCTATGGCTTTTAGTTTTTAAATTTTTACTGTTTTTTACTTGTATTGCCGTGTATCGCTTTTATTTTATTTATCTCTGTAGTTTCAAATAGTTGTACAGCACTGTTTGAAAGTGCTTTATAAATAAAGTTATTATTATTATTATTATTCAGGGCTCTAGAGTGCGACCAATTTGGTCGCAAATGCTACTAAAAAAAAAAATATTTGGTTGCACCTGTGCGACCAAATGTTCGGGTAGCAAAAAAAAAAAAAAAAAAAAAAAAAAATCTGCAACCTTCCCTGTGGTCAACAACAGACACACATTTTGCCCCTATCGTGGACTAAACCAATCAGAGATAGTAAGGGGCGGGACCTCTCTGATTGGCCGTGGTCCAGTTGAAAGTGCAGGTGGAAGTGGGAGGTGAGTAGCTTGAATAAAGCGATATCAATTCATTAAATCCTGAATCGACTTTTAAATATTACTGTGTTTTGCCAGAAATGCCAGATTCTCAGATTAAAGCTCACAAAACTATTTCAACAACAACCAAACAGCAGATGAGAGCAGGTACACGGACTCCACACAAAGACGTAAACACAGACCCGACGCATCAGAATCAACTTTATCTTTCTCGGCTTTCTCACCCGACGGCCCGCAGACGGACACGCTGTCGGAGCTCAGCGATTCTGATGCGTCCGGTCCGCGCTGTGTTTACGTCTTTTTGCACTGATTCTGAGCTGCAGGTTTTGTCTCTCCAACCAAAATCCACTGAGCCAGCAGCAAAAGAAGCAGCAAACTGCGCTTCACATTTGATCAATGTCGTCATGAATTTTGCTGTTTTGCTTCCACGACTATTAAAATCACACTTCATGCACTGCTAGCTCTCTCTCTCTGTACTTCAAGAACAGTTTCTCGTCTCCAATCTCTGTTTTCTGTATTATTCATTTGCTTATTACCCACCAGTCTACCGTTGTTTACAGCGCTGTGGCTGCTGTCTTTTTCTTTTTCACTTAAATGACCTCGGACAAGAAAGCCTATTTTTTCTGTTGTTCAATACTGAAGAAATTTAAACTTTATATGCAGAACATTGTAGAATGTTTTTAAGGTTATCTGCTATAAAAAGCCAGACGAGGAAAATCTCCTTCATGTTTTTCTGTGTTTTATTCTCAGTTACTTTCACACAAAGGCATCTGCTGTGATGTTCACAATTCTGAAGAAGTCAGTGCTGATAAATGATCAGAATTATAATATTTCTGACTGTCTGAGGCTAAGTTGAATCAAATCGGGACTTTGAAAACCGGAATCGAATGGATTATAGAAATCAGTGATGATACCCAGCCCTAGTGAGCAGCCTAGGCACGACAGAAGTGGATGTAGCTGTAATAGGAAAAGAACTATTGCTAACTTTTCTGTTAAGTTAAGGCCTGATCCGTCTGAAATTCATAGCCAGTGCTCTGACACGGTGTCATCAATCTTTGAATGCTGAAAAAGCACAGTGTATCCAGAAAAACACATTATATTATATAAATTATTATAACATTTGTGTGCGCCTAACTTTTGTGCCGGTACGCCTAACTTTTTAAAGTTAGGCGTACCGGTACGCCCATGGCAAAAAGTTAGTCTAGAGCCCTGTTATTATTATTATTATTATCTATATGAGGGGTGGGGAACTCCAGGACTCGGTGCCGGTGTCCTGCAGCTTTTAGATGTGTCCTTGATCCAACACAGCTGATTTAAATGGCTAAATGACCCCCCATGTCTTGCAGTTCTCTAGAGGCCTGTTAATGAACTAATCATCTCATTCAGGTGTGCTGACCCAGGGTGAGATCCTGCAGGACACCGGCCCTCCCCTGATCCATAAATGTTCAATAGACTGAAGACAAACAAAACCAATCCTAATAACAGTGACGGCTGGAGTGATGTCACGATCTGAGAAACCTTTTGAGAGTCAGGCAGCAGTGTTAAACAAATAACTGACGGTTGAATACGTAAAACTGTGGCTTGTTTCCATGGTAGCTGACATCACAATGGACTGACGGGTGTAGTGATTCTGCTTGTTTCTGTGGCTGAGTTTTCACGTAAGATTAAAGTCTGTTTATTAAAACTTTAAAAATACAAGCAGAAGTTGAATAAATCCATCTGACATAGTGATAAAATAATGTACGTGTGTATAAGACACCTCACAGCTTAAACACTCTCGACCACGTTGAAGGTTACAAGCAGACAAAAACGGTCCAAAATCTGTGACGTAATGATGACATTTATATCCTATAATATGTTCCCTTTATAACAGTTTATGATGGGCATTTAAGATTGATGAGATAATCTCAGAGAAAGCGTAAATGTAAAGCTCATGTGTCACGTTACACGATATAAAAGGAGGGCAGAGGTTGCTCTGTGCGTAGTCCTGAACTTAGCCCTTTGCTCAGCACTTCATCAGGCTCCTTGAAAGTCCGACCTACTTCAAATTTACATCTCAACAGATAACAGTGAGATAGAGCTCAGGTTAAAATAAGCTCTTGAATCCAAAGGCAGCTTAATGAGGTGACACAAAACTCAATTCACTTGTGACCCTTCTTTTACTCTATGAGACTGCACAGGAGCACTGCTACATCTCCAAGATTCAAATGAAGCCACCGGGTTACTAAACACTGATCTCCTGTTAAGGCTTCACCCTGTGAGACGCGTGTAGTTATGGCTCTGCAACTGACAAGGACACGCTAACTGCACCGATAAGCTAGCAGCTTAGTGGTTGCTAAGGTATGGCTAACAGATTTTTCCCCAAGGAAATATATTAACAATGAGTTGCACGACTGTTTGGAAATGTTGGCATGACACAGTCATTGTAACAGCTACTCGCCTGGACACGCTGCAACAAAGAGCGCAAGAATTTCGAGAACATGCTTGAATACAATACCTGGTAAGAAGAAAGTTATAGCTAATGGCACGCATCACTGAGTATGTGCGCAGCCACGTCACGCTTTTACCAAGCTCCAAAGCAGCCATTTACATTTAACAATAAAAATACAGTTATGTTATGTAGATGAATATTCCCTACCTGTAGTCCGGCTGTGAAAAACAGTCGAGCAGGCTTTTGGCGGTTAACCTGGAATTCTCAGTTACTATCTGAAACAGAAAGCAGTTTATCTGAGCTAAAAGAAAACAGCACATTAAGAAGCGCTTAGCATGGCAAAGTCCAGTGCATCTAATTGTGTACCAATAATTGTCATATGCCACTGACATTGTTGGAGTTGATGATGCTGAGCAGTGTCTGGACTTCTTCTAAGCCGGGAGCTGATAACAAGACACTGAAAACAGAAAAACACAATGTTAGAACTGATCTCTGTTACAAGAAAGTCCCACTGGGATCGATACGTTTCAGTTTTGATTAGCCAGCTCAGGGTTGGGGCCCTGGAGTCTGTCCTCTAACACAGAGGCAGCAGCGCTGTCACAATTTAGTGTCACGAGTTAACCGTCCATGCGTTCACATGGCTGTGAAAGGAAACCACAGCACACACCCCTATTTCACGACGGCAGCCTATAAAGCACACACAGCAGTGAGTCCCTGGACCTGTACAGCGCGTTACAAAGTAATATCTGAAAAAAGGCTAAATATCAAAAGGAAAAACAAACGCTCGGGTTCATGAACCATCACAAAAAGCCCCCCAGAAACACTGTGTGTGCAACCCAAAGGCCCAGCGCTCGTCTCTGACAGGTTTGAACTGATTTTATGGCCAAAGGGAGACGACCACCAAATATTTGGAGGATGGTTTTAACCGGTGTGTAATGTTCTTCTGCGATTGCACCAATTTGCTCAGATTAAAACTGTGCCAGACAAAATGAGTTTGCAGTTCCATGTATTATCCGCGCATTCATCCACAACCGTGCATCTGCATAAAATGCAAACCCGCACTGTCATTAAGTGCATTACTCTGACGCACACGGGGATAATGCAGAGCGAGAAACAAGAAGACAGCAAGGAACGGCAGCAGAGCAACGAGGGTGGAAGGATAGGAAATAGGAGAAAATGATAGGAAATGACAGTGTCCTAAATTATCCATATCTAGTGTCTGCAGAATGAGAAAAATGAAAAAGAGGAAGACGGCGCGATAGCGTGCATGGAATGACTCATAGCTCTGCTCAAACACATGAAAATGAGCCCGGCTGTCTCCTAGGCAACCATGTTCGTGCAGCCCAATACACACATGCATGCGTACGGACTGGCGCAGATTTACACACAAACACGCAGATTCCTGCTAATAATAATCCACAGGAATGCAAATCCTGCAGTGATTCATATTTATAATATTTGTCATGCTGGCAGACATCAAGTTTAAGATTGTTTAATCGTGACCTGACTCGACATGCTTCACACTAATGTGGAAATGCATTCACAGCAATATCACTCAGTGTGACAGAAGTTCCCATTTTTGTTTCCAGCTTTTCTCTGGACTGAAAGCACTCGTGTTATTCGGCCATTATGCATATTCTGGTATGTCCTTCTTAGATGTTTACAGACAGTATCCCATCTGATGAATTCACTGTGTGTTTACTTTACTATCTATTTAAAGTGGCTCTTATTAGCCTCGCACACGCCCACGGGTACGCACGGACGCCGCAGCTGCAAACTCGAGAGAAAGCAGGATTATCGGAGTGTTCGAAAAGGACGCCGCTGTGGCACAACGTGTCAGGAGGCTTTTGTACAATGTTATCTGCAGCTTCACCAGATCATATATTAGACGTGATGTAATATCTGGTAACGAAGTCCCACCATTCAAAAACAATAAAAACAGACGAGCTCGGAGGGTTAAATGGTTTGAGGGGCTTTCAGGATATCGCACTGTGAGAAGTTTCATATACTTTAAAACAGCAGATTGTTTTATGTCACCACAAACACCGCGTCACTACCAGAGCAAAAGCTTTTCTACACTGTTTTTGTATCTGACACCAGGCTGAACATCAGGAGACACCTCGACCTTTGGATGGCAGCGGTTTATTGTTACCTTCCCTCAAAGAGACCCAAATGTCACACTGAATGCTGTCCGGGAAATAGATAACAAATAATTGTCACTTTTTGTGTCCCACGCACAGAAGCGAGGTGGGATTAACGAGGTTGACACCGAGCTACGAGTCACAACTCTGGGAAACGGAAGCGGTCAAATGGAAATCGGCGATTCTTAACTTTGTTATGTCCACAAGCTCTTCCTACTGCACAGCGTGAAATGTCTTCCGTGAAAAAGCGCTGTTGTTGAATTTTCCGAGTGGAACCGAGTGAATGGAAAACAAATTAAAAGCACGTGACTGCAGCCGCATCGCTGCAGACGACTGTGATGATTCGTGTTATGTAAACGTGAGAACAAACTAAAGACTGACTCGGGTCGTTCCCAGTGCGATAAGAACACGCTTCTTACATGTGAACATACCACACGCTGACAATGCAGGCACAAGAAGTGCATTCTAGACATTTTTCTTAGAGTTCGTACCAGAAACTTCCCGCTACACTGAAGCACAGGCTGCTGCGTCATGGGAAAGGCGATAAGGCAAAGCTACAAGGTCACGGAGATTACAGCCTGCGCTACGGTGCCGAATGAAGCCCGAGAGCAATGACAGCATAAAACACATGCGCACAGGAAGGAGAGGGGTGGCCGTTTAAAGGACTTCTTCGAAAAGCTACTTGTTGAGGCAAAGGTGAGACACACCTGTGAAAACATGAGGAAAGCGTGACAGGTTAAGCAAGATCACACTCCTCTGTGGAGGTTACCGAAAGACACGGATCCAGATGTACCTGTAAGATTTGTGAAACGGTGACTGTGACGCACACACCTAAAATCTAAAGAAGCAACAGGAAGGGGCCTCCAGCGGTATTTTTTTAACTGACGTGACATACCTGCTGAAAGCTTGGAGCAGCTGCGAGACCATGGAGGACAGTTTGTGCAAGCAGGCCAAGGCATCCTGTGGTGGTGGAGCAGCTCCCTCTGGCTGAAGGCACTGCCTGGTGTGAGGGTCAAAGCCCAGAGCTTTGAACACCTCCAAGCTAAAACAAAACAGAAAGCAAAAGATTTCAGGGGGTCGGCAGAACGGAAAGAAAAACAAGACACACTTCAAAATAAACTCCAAAGTGTGTTTTTGTCCTGGCAAAATCACACTTTTTGTAATTCCTCCACAATTGGAACCACTTGGCTCTCACACTATCATCATAGTACGGTGCTGCTGCAGAATACGCTAACTTCTGAACTGATGGTGACATAGTTATTTAAATAAATCCAAGCATATGTGCTAGTAAGTAATCCTAATATGACACCTGCAGTATAATCCCAACACTCCAATAACAAACATGCCCACCTTAGTTGACACACGTGAGACCAGATCCTCTCAAAGACGGCCCACACTTCCTGGTGAGAGTCTCCGTTATCGTCATCGTCATTCATGACAACGTCGCAGGCGGGAGATTCTCCCCCCGTAGGAGGATTTGGCTGAGAAACAATACGAAAAATACGTTTCAAACAAAAAAACTCAAATTGCTATGTTTAATAAGAAAATGGGTAATGCTTAGCTCGTTATCAGACTTTAAAAATACTTCCCTTACAATATACGTGACACAAACAGACACAACCACGATACAACATACACAAAAACCCATTAAGTCTTCAAATGCGCTCGAGCTGACCTGAGGTCGTAGCTTGTTCAAAATGTCGTCCAGTACAGCGACTGCTCGTGGAACGCGCTTTGAACTTCTCGAAAAAGCGTTCACAAGCTCTTTGGCATCTTGAACGACCTCTGAGATGGCTTCACGCTCCACCGTTTCACCTGAGAAAACACGCACGCATGCATGCAGTCTGCCCATCAGCTGACTGCACATAAAGGTTAATCTCACCTAACTAAAATGTGCTAAATGAATGAAGCTAAATGAACTCTGTTTTACGTCACGTAACAAAAACTGAACTATTATGAAAGTGAGCTCTGCTGCAGAGCTGCTGTGTTCCTGTTATAGTCAGGTGGAAACCTATAGACGCGCAGACTGACAGGGAGCTTGCATGTGCACATACTGTGCAAGAAAACATACATCCACACATAGAAGAAGGTTTACAGCACGTCAACATTTTACACAATAAACACATTATTTTCTATAAATATGAAGGTCAGAGTCAGAGACTCCGCTGCCCTCTCTGCAGAGCAGAGCGTCGCCTCCATCCTCAAAGACCCCACACACCCCCAACACGGACTGTTCACACTTCTGCCCTCCAGACGAAGGTTTAGGAGTGTGAAACCCAGAACGTCCGGACTCAACAGCTCCTTCTTCCCCCCTGCTGTCAGACTCCTGAACAGCTGACCTACCTCAACTGCAATTTGCATGTCAGACACTTTGCACATTAAGCTCCGTGTACATCCATCTACATCAACATCTCCACACTTGTCTTCCCTGACTTATTTTGTACTCATTTATTTATCTTCCATTATTTTTTATCTTTATTTATCTTGTTCTTTTAAAAATCCTTTACCTAACTTGGCATTTGTGTATGGACAGCAAAGGAAACAAACAAAGTAAATTCTTTACAGCAACAGCTACACATCTATCAGGACGCTTATCCTTCCATTTCCAGCTGTAGCCCTAACAGTGAGAATATTGTTACCTTACAGATGTGTATGAAGACAGTCTGTCCTCACAAACACAGCTGTTTTTAAAAAACAAACATCTAATCACCATAATGCTTTCCCTAAACCTGACCACAACCCAATTGTAACCCTGACACTAAAACCACATTTTGGGGACCAGGATTTTGGTCTCCATAACAGCTGTTGGTCCCCCCAAGTATACTAAACTTCCAATTTTTGGTCCCCACAAAGATATGAATACACGCTCACACACACACACACACACACACACACGAAAATCACATGCAGTACTTTTCCACTCCCAGATTTGTTCTTAGCCTCAGATACAGTCCATCCAGCCTTCACTTCCTCCTTCTGCTCGCCCTTCTCTCAGCTTCCTGGCACAGAGCCAGGCTGCGTGGTACCAAGAAATCAAGCATGTGAACCAAGGATACACAAACACGCACAAAAACACACAGCAAGGACAAAACCACACTGTTTAATCTATTAACATTCTTGCCTGGATTAAAAATTATTGGGCAGCTAAACACAGGTGGACACAGAGCATGAGAAACAGAGACACACAGACACACACACACAGACACACACACACATTCAGCACTGTGAGAATACACAAAGGGGATCCAGCAGTAAGACCCAGAAGTGCTGCAGTGGGCGACTCAGCATCTTTCTGACCCACATTTCCGTCTCCTACTTTAGCAAATGACCTGATTCTGCACGCAGTTCTTTAGGGTTCTAGCACAGTGCAGGGCGGACAACATCACACCCCCACGGTGGACGGCTTACATTCGAGGGATGACTCAGTATTTCACCACCGCTCTCTGCCAAGGTGCAGGGAAAGCACCGTTTTCTATACAAATAATGCAGAGTATCGGAAATTGGACATTTCATCGCCTAACAATGTAACTTTTTGCATAACTGATGAGCTAATAATCAGCTCGTCAGTTTCAAACATTGCTTATATGGCAAACTGACTATCAGAAGCTTCAGTTTATAACATTGAAATGACTACAGAGCTACAATAATTACATAGTATTTGCCTTTATACACATTAAATTCTGCTGTTTACTCTCAGGGGAATATGGACACAAGCTCCTAGGAAACTGTCGTCATCATGTTTTCATCTAGAATGTCTGATTCTATCAAGCCTGCGAGATCCAAGAAACAGACGTGATGTCCTTCACAACAATGCTGCCTGTTAAATCTTCAAATCACCACACAAGACTCCAAAATAAGGCTAATAACAGACTCACTATTCGTAACCACTGAGTATATAAGAGTATATTTTCACCTATATTTGTGCTTACCGGAGTTGAAAAATTTGATGAGCTTTAAAACAGTTTGCTCCTTCCTCCGATGGGTGAGGTGGCCAAAAACAGCAATCCAGTGCTTTTTTATACACTGTAAGACATCCTGAAGTGTCCACGGTGGCTTTAAATAAACGATCTGTTAATGCAAAGAATGATATCATGAACCAATTACTTACATTACAGTTTTATTTACAGAATGAACGTGTCACTTATGAGGAGCTCATCAATCACCGTACCCATATCTAAAGTAACTTCTTATATTATAACAGCATATTGATACAACCTAACATTTAACTAATGAACCTGTGTTTTTAGTGTCAGTGATGTGAAATTCCCCATATTTATTTATTTTACCTCAAGCCAGAGGTCATCATAAGCAGCCTTCATCTCCACTTGCAAAACGTCAGACAGCACCTCCCTCAGACAGTCTTCTAATGCAGAAATGCATCCGCTGAGGTCCCTTAGTGTCCTCTCCTCGTCTCCTTCACTGAGCTGCTTGCTTTCTGTGATCAGTTACATACAAGTATTTTATATGTTTGAGTGATTTTAGGCAGTAGATACAGAGCACATACGAGTAAATGACTAGAAATGAACATCTGTAATACTAACTCTGTGTACTTCTTGTGTACAGTTAATATAAGAAGGGAGGGAAGGAAAACAGGAAGTGCATGTGTTGCGGGGGATTCCTAGTACATAGATAGTATGTGCCATTAACTACTGCATGATGATGAAGCAACACATTAACCTCCAGCTCACCTTTGTGTAGGACTCCCACATAAAAGCCCGCTTTCTTTTGACCATGTGGCTGAACCGGTGGGCACCTCGTGCTCAGCGTTGGTGATAAGACCTGAGGGTTATTGCTCGGTGGCACAGAAGCCTGAATGCCTCCAGTGATCTGAAGGCCATGTCTGGATCTCCCAACCTCTGCCTCCAAGTCAGTCTTGCAGAGTGCCTTCACCCCACTCAGGAGGGCTTTACTGCACAGATTCTTATCATTGCTGAAGATGACAGAATAGAAGCATGTTTTTAATCAGGGGGCAGTGATAAGGCATTAAGACTATTTATTTTCACAGACATCCACACTCATTATCAATTCACTGTGCGACACTGAAGCGCTGTCTGCCCGCTAATTTGATTTAGCAAAACAATCGATGACTACAGCAGGAAACAGCGCCGTGAAATAGGTCAAAATGATGAAAACAAAACAAAATAGCTGCGTCATAAAATCGGAGCCAATAAGTTGCTAAACTAAACTCACATTCCCGTGCTCAGCACATCTATTCTTTGCCAATAGCTGTCTGGCCCTCGCTTTCTTTCTCTCATCCCAACTGGAACTATCTGGCTGGACCCACTCACAGTCACATGCATGTGCATTATCAGCAGAGGACACACTCTGCAGCAGCAGCAGTTTACTGTAGGGGGGGAGGAGGGATAACTCACGTGCATAAGGTGAGAGCACACTCTGGGTACAGCCTCTGGTACTGCAGGCAGCACTGCAGCACTCTGTCATCGTTATTCTCAGCAGTCAGACCATCTGCATACAAGGGGAGACAGACAGGAAGAGAGAGAGGGACAGAAGGACAAGACATGACGCTGTTAAACACCAGGAGGACTCAACAATGAAAACACAAGATGGAGAATTCATGCCTGTTTTAAAAGAGATACTGAAGGCGTAGAAGCTCCAAAATAAACCCAAAATATTTCTTCCTCATCTCCTTTGTCAGATCTTGTTTAAAATGTAACAAAATATCGACACAGCAATGAATGCACGGATACAATGTGCCCTTGAGATATTTACAATGTATATTATGGTGACTAATTTCTTGAGAAAGAGTTCAGCATTAGTGCCACCTAGTGTCTGTGCAGAGGAGTCAAGCAATGACAAAATACAGTCCCGACCAAAAGTTTCAGACCACTTGAAAAATGGCAAAAAAATCATATTTTGCATGGTTGGATGTTAACAAGGTTCCAAGTGGAGTTTCATCATGCAACAAGAAGAAGTTAGGGCACCTCCTCCACTGTGGCACGTGGAAAACATCTCAGGTGGGATCTGCTTGTCATGCTGGTAACATTGGAACGGTTACGTTCCTTTGTAATGGATAGAAGGTTTTCATGTGCTCGCTGTTGTTGAGGGTGACGGTGACATTTATTTATTTATCAAGTCAACAATTCACCCAACAGCCTATCAGGCAGCTCTCACATGGGCTAATGGATGTGTAATAGAGACAAAGTTTCCACTCACTGCTGCTCTCTGCGGCCTGCTGCATAGATTGGCCCCACAGCCGAGGTTCCCGGCTCTTCAAACACTTGTAAATGTAAGAGATGGCTGGAGTCGCCAGGTGGGCCACGGAGCCTGACAGGCCTCTTCCCATTTTTAGGGAGTCCATCTCCTGAAGCACCACCCAGGGGATGACGATAATGGGGAAGCCCAGGCCTAACAGAACATGAAGTAAACACAGAGCAAGCAGACAGTACTGATTAGTTTATCCATAAAAATACAATCTGACAATGTGGAAGCGATCATAACGTTTTTTTAAATTAAAATTTTCTCTTCAGTTCTCTTGCAACTGTATTGATCCTGGAATGAAATCATTCTTTGGGAGCAGATGCGTGATCATAGAGTCTAAAAACTAAATTATGTTATGTTAGGGAAAGCAAAAATGCAATACGCTGTTCTATGGAGACAATTTTCAAGATAAAAGGCTAAATACACTGCTTGAAGATAACGTAAGCATTTAACTCATGACTGAAAAAATCTTAACAACATGAAATATTATAAATCATTCTACAAAACACCGTTAGTATTAGTTACTGCTTTAATAGCAAATTATAGTGTGAAACACCTCCGAGGCCATGACAGCGGATCTTTTTCACATAATCCAGGTGACTGAGGAGAATGTTTGTGTCGAGAACAAGGATTAGGTCCTGCTGAGACGAGTTTCTGCCTGTGAAGAAAAAAAACATTGGATTGAATCAAGTAATTTCTTGGTTATTTTTAAATGATCAAAACAATAAATAAAATAACACAAAAAATAATATTACTTTCCACATAATTGTTTTGTGGAAACTCGATTTCAGAAACTACTTAAGACTAACTTGAGCTGAGCATCTCAGTTGTCTTATCAGTTATCCATTTTGTTAGATTAATAACTAAATCCATAAGTCAGATGTTAAAATATATAAATCAGATGCTTATATCGTAATCTTTATGTGTCACACAAGGATTAATTAAAAAAAGTCAAACCATGGATCAAGTTACGAGTGGGTTAGATGTGTTAAATTGCTTCTGCCACAAGTTGAAAGTTTGGGCTTTTATTTCAGTTTTGTCACTTACAGATGTTTGAATTAGTGAGTTGAAAGTTGACATACTTAATTGAAATTTTGAAACAATAACCAAAAACTCCTCAAAGTGTGATTTAAAATTTAACACATGATGAGTGTACAAAATTGGGACGTCTTTAGGAAAGAGACGACGCTTACGTACCTGCAGGTCCTTCTTCGGGACAATCTATGTCCATAGCGGTGAGTTCCCCGTAGCTCTTCAGGACATTCACCTCCAATCTCTTCTCAGAGCGGGCAAGATGAAGCTCTTCAACCACCTGTATCTGTGGAAAAGCCATCCATTTAAAAACAAACATCTATCCTTCAGTTCTTTCTTACTGTTTTAAATGAGTGATCCCAAAAGGCTGATTCTGTTCATGTGGACAATATGAACTGAAACCAGCCCACTGAACGATTGTTCATTCGGTGGGCTGGTTTATTGTGGAAATGTACTGTTGATAAGGTTGGGAAAACCTGCAGTCGGCTGAGACTGAAGAAGTCACTTGGATGACTCCCACTGAAGACGCTAGGTCCAGATGACTGAGCATGGATCAACATTAAATGAGTGATGTTACCTGGTCAGTGTTGGTATCAGGTGTCTGCGGGAGCTGCCCATACCCAGAAGGCCTGCCATCAAATTTTAACCTTGGTTTAAGATCTGAGCAACTTTGGGTTCGTTGCATAGCTAGAATTAATCGCTAAGAACTTCCGGTTCTTAACGACAGGCTTTGTTTTGTTTTGTCCCTGTATGGTTTAAACGAGGCTAATCTTCTTATAATAGTGGAGACTGCTTTTAAATATGGAAACGGGGGTAGTCACAAGAAGTAAGAGAGTCACAACTCCGACAGATGAGGAAACAGAAAAGCCACGTGGATTGGAGCTACTCTCCTGACCCAAGGTTAGCCACGGAGGGCATGGATACAGCTGAGCCCACCCTCCTGAATATCCTGAAAGAGCTACGCGACTTCAGAAAAGACAACAACCAACAACAGGCGGATATTAAACGTGAGTTAAGAGGAGTTGATGCTAGAGTGGAAGAGGCAGAGGGACGAATGAAGAGACTGAGACGGCGCTACCGGCGGCATCGTCATTAAATAAGAGACGGGACGTCAAGCTAGCCTAGAAGCAGCGCGCAGAGACAACCTTTGGATATATGGAATATGTGAAGATTAAGAAAGGGCCGACATAATTACATGTTTGGACAATTAATTGAAAAACACGCTGGGCTTTCCCAGTGACCAGACAGCACATTGCGCTTTGACCGCGAAAAGCCCCGATCCATTGTGAAGTTTGGGGACTCCCATACGAAAGAAGATGTTCTTTGGAGCGCATGGCAGAAGAAGGAGGTGCTCTATGAAGGGTACGATTTTTGCGGACCACGACTACCCTAATGAGGTCTTCAAAAGACGCAACGAATATCACCGCGCGAAAACCCCACAGCAACCCGACAGCAGGAAGAGATTCAGTTGCCGTCCGCTTGGCGCACGGTCACCAAGCCGGAGTGACGCCTGATCATACGCAAGAAAGCCAACGCATCCGCTGCAGAGAAGCTTCGGATGTTCAGGAGAGATACTGACGACTGAAGAGTTCAGATTGTTTTACAAATCTGATATTACATCATGGTTATGGTCACATTACTTAGTAGAGTCGTTAACTCGGCTTCTTACTTCTCTTTTCTCTCTCTCTATTTGTAATAACTGTGGAGTTTTTTAAAAATATATAACTATGTTCAAAAATTAGATCCTGAGTCAGGATGTTAGACACAAACTTGTTAGGGTGTAGAAGGCTCGTTTCTTCTTGGAAGGACTATTTTTGTTTTTATTGTATTTTTCCTAATCTCTGTTTTTATTCAATGTTTGAGTTCATTATTTTTTCTGAGGGAGAGAAACTGTCCATGCACAAGTTTAAAGAAAAGCATTTAGCACATTTTCACCATACGATCATGCAGGACATCAAGATGGTCTCATTTAATGTAAAAGGGGCTCAAGTCTGGTTAAAGAAGTAAGATATTATCGAAAATAAAACGTGCAGCATCAGAACGTGAGAAGCTGAAAAGAATGGGTTACAAAAGGGCATACTACTCGTCTTCTAAAAATGGACTGATGAGGGTAGTTGTGATATTAACATCACAAAAAGTACAATTTGAGTACATTTCTGAGGCCTATTAAGAAGGGAGGCATATAGTAATCTCAGGGAAGATCAACAGTGTAGTGATAAGCATTTGTAATGTCTGCTCCTCTTCTTATATATAGAGCCACTTGCACAATGGTTAAGACAGAGAGAAAGTATTAAAGGTATTCATATAAGTGGAGAAGACCACGAAGTGGCCCTATATGCAGATGATGGTGTATTTATATCTGAGCCTAATAAAACATTCTAATGGTTCTCGATAATGTGCCAGGATTTGCTTTGGAATTGATGATGACTGAACTTTACCACGGGACACTGATGTGAAATTTACCTTTGAGCTGCTTTCCGAGGCACTGTGTTTGGCTGAAGTGGAAGACTTCTTTAAGATGGAGGCAGAAGACGTGTTTGCATCATCTTTATAGAAACTTCTTTGGGGCTTTAACTCCTTTTTTTCATGCTTTTGACACATCTCTATAGCAGAGGTGGAGGAGGTAGGTTTGCTGGTCTTGATATACCTGCTGTGATTTCCAGTCCTCGGTGGGTCCTCAGTTCTGCAGTTCCTCTTCTGCACATCCTGCCTTGGTTCTTTCACTTCAGCAGATACTAAACTGGGACCCACTCGAGGCTTGTTTAATTTGGACTGGCTCCTCTGGGAAGACTTTTCATCGAACCCACCTTTAGACTTTGTTTCTGTTCTCTGAGGGACTGCACCTGCACTGAGTTTTGAGTATCCTCTTTCCACAATGTCGCTTCCAGTGACAGTTTTATCTTTCCCTGAAACATAATTCTTTGCTTTACTGGAGCAATGATCCCCATGGAATGCCACAAAGTCTGGTTTGGATTTTGCATATTGTCTGTCCTTATTAATGGGTTTCTGCTCTGTTGCTTGTGTTTTTGCCAGTCTGTAGACAGGTTTTTTGATCTGCCGGGTGCTTTGGGAGTCATCTTTAACAGAAGAAGAAACGGATTTTTCCTTGTCCTTTTTACAGCTAGATTTTGAAGAATAAAAAGAAACGATGCTGTAAGAACTTTTTTTTTTAATAATATAAAAACACGATTAATTTCCAGTTAAAAAAATGCAGAAATAAATAAATGGTTATGTAAATTCCATCAAACCTTTTCTGACTCTTTAAAACTTCTTTCCTCTTGGCGGTTTTGTAACTGTTGCTTGCATATTGTCCTCTGGATATCTGATAACATAAAAAACATGAAACATTTTGTGAAATGCAACAATTAAGGCAGACTACAGCTGAAATAAAAGCAATAAAAGAAATTTTTGTTTTTTCTTGATATTTTTTACATGAGGGACTTCTTGTTTTTAGGAAAACTTTGTAATATTCCAGTGCCCTGTCACTCCTATTCTGAACGTTTTTGTCATGATAGTGCTTAGTTATGCTGCACATGTCGAAACCAATTTTGTCTCCAAACTGCTCAACCTGAGCCGTTTCTCTGATATACTCTTCCCAATTCAAATCAAATCAAATCAAATCACTTTTATTGTCACATCACATGTGCAGGTACATTGGTACAGCACATGCGAGTGAAATTCTTGTGTGCGAGCTTCACAAGCAACAGAGTTGTGCAAAATACAATAACATAAACAGGCAAAATATACGAATGGCTAAATCTGAAACTAATAAATATATGTACAATATATAATAGTATATGCAAAAAAAATTTTTTCTGGATGTGTATACTAAATGTTTTTCTACGTGTGTGTGTGTGTGTGTATACACATATTTTACAAATTAAATAGAGTCAACAATAAATAAAATATATAAAAATATACAGAGTTGAGACATGTGCAAAACAGTGGCATTAATGTACAGTATGTAGTGCATAATGTTGAAGTTCCAATTCTTATCCCTTCCGATGAAAATCTTAGGAACCTTTAACTCTGGCACCTCCAGCCACGCCTCCTGTCTTGTCCTAGTGCCACTGGGAATTGGGATGCAGTTTTCGTCGCCCTAAACCAAACCCAAACACCCACTATCTTCATGCTGCCTCCCCTCACCAGCTGGAAGCTTCAGGGCCAAAGTTGGAACAACAAATTCTCCCAGATTACAAGACGGCTCTGCCTCATCATCTTACTTCCTCAAGGTCACCTGCGTCGACTTCAGGATTGTTGACTTTTTCTTAAAAAGAGGTGAAAGGGCACTCTCTCTTTCTCGAGTTGAATACATGCTCCACACACATGTTCTCAAACTGCTCTCCCATCAGGAGCTCAGTCTGGGTGAAGTTATTTTTTCTCCCCTCCTTAATGCCTTCATTTCATCTCGCCTTGACTTTTGTAATAGTCTTTACTCTGGCGTCAGTCTGTCATCAGGGTTAGATCAAATGCTCCTAGCTGTCCCAAGGTCCAGATTAAAGCACAGAGGAGATCGAGCCTTTGCTGTGACTGCTCCTGAACTGTGGAACAAACTGCCCCTCACATCAGGACCTCCCCAACATTGGACACTTTCAAAACCCTTTGAAAACCCACTTTTATGGCTTCCTTGGCTTTTAAATCAAAATGAGTTTGGACTACTTTTATTTATCTTATTTCTTACTCAAACTTACTCTCTCTGCACTCTCTCTTCACCTCTCTTGTGCGTTATCCCTCGATTTGGATGGTTAACCCAGGCATGTAAACTCATCCAGCGTCACTCTTACATCCCTCTCACTAACACACACGTATTGTGGAAAATATATTTTTATACAACAGGGCTTTTATTAGTGACATATTAACCTAGAAGCTATTGAACGTGCAAAGCTTAGGGCCTTAGAAGAAACGTTCTGCTTGTAACTTGCATACGTGCCTGCTCAGCAAAGGTTAGTACAGTATGTACTCAGGATGTGCCACAGATGAGTATGAAGAGAGCAGCACAGCGGGAAACACCTGAAGTGTAAGACAGCTGAGACAGCTCTTTAAGTCTTACAGAAGCTTGTCAATAAAGGAAGTGTATCTAAGTGCAACTGATGCATGTTAGGATATATGCTTATGAAGGGGCTGAACCCTGATATATAAAAACAGTATGCTGTGTGCTACCTAGTTGAGATCTATGCAGAGGATGACACTGTATACATCTCCCACGCGTGTGTTCAATAAATCATTGTTGTGACTGGACAGTATTCATGTCATGTAGCAGCAAAGTCAACTACAGTACACAAACGCTGTAACCTTACCCTCTCGTCTTCTTCACTTGAGGACGAAGACGACTTCTTGTGCTTTCTCTTTTTGGCCTTTTTAGGCATTTTCCTGGGAAGGCGATGTTAAAGAGGAAATAACGTTTCCGGTTAATATAAACACAAAAATCAAGCTTGATTTAAAGCAACACGTCACCCTGACATAAAACGAAACTAAACTAAAAGACGCATTTTACTCTCTTAAACGCGTCCTAATACTATAAAATATTGCCGCGTTAAGCCGAGTGTTAAACTCGTAACTCACAGCAGTCTAAAGTTAAATGTTACCGTTAGCTCGTTAAATCTCGTACACGAAGAAGAAGCAGCAGCAAACTGCAGCCGTACACGCTACATGTCGTCCTTACTGTCTGAAGAGGTCGCTTTCGTTGTTTCAGGGACATAAAGTAAGTCAAATGTGAGCAAACGTCACATTCCTACACAGCTCAGTTTCCCTACCCCAGAGCCGACTGTTTTCCAAAACATCCGCAGCGCTTCCGGCTTTTCTTCTTCTACTGCGAACATTTTTTCTCAGTTGCTACGTGACTGCCACAGACTGGACGGGAGAGCTGCGCGTGCGTTTGTTGCTCCTGGAGCGTTTCGTGAAAAGATTAATGCCATGCTCCACAAATTGGCTGTTTGGAGGCCTCTCATAAACGACCTAATGTTTTATGTGTCTTTCTTTTTCTTTTTTTATTGAAAAAGCTCTCATCTCTGCCCCTGGGTCTGACCCTCTGTCTCCATCCCCTGCTCTGTTGTTTTTGACTAGTTTGAGCTTGTGACTCTTTCTTATTTAGAGGATGTGGTTGGCCATCTGAGACCAAATGATCCTGCCCCTCCACGATTTTTTTAAGGAGATGTTGCCTAGCATAGGGCAGGGTTTTGTCAAACACCAGTTTAATATCCGAAGTTGTCCCTGCTAATTTTTAGCATGCAGTACTACCTCTGCTCAAGAAACCTGCCCTGGACCACACTGTATTGGCTAACTACAGGCCTATCTCCAAGCTGCCTTTTCTGTCTAAAATTATAGAGAAAATGTATATTCCTAATTGATTGGTTGTTTCGATGAGAATGGTATCTTGGAGATTTAGTGATAGCTTCGTTACCTATGATTCTTGTAATCATGTTGTTCTTGTCCTCCTTGGCCTAGCAGCTGCTTTTGCCACTGTAGACCACAACATTTTACTGTCTCGTTTACACCATCTTGCAGGCATTCGTGGTACTACTTTGAATTGGTTTGAGTCTTATTTGTCTGACATAACTTTTAGTGTTAACTTTTTAAGGGTATGAGTAATTTTCTGCTGCTCTTCAGGGCTCAATTTTAGGGCCCCTGGATTTCCCTTGTATTTACAGCTTTTGGGAGCCATGCATAGAAGGGATGGAATAGCCTTCCACTGGTATGCCGACAACTGCCAGATTTATCTGCCTCTGAAGCAGAAAGATGCTTTATCTGTTAAACTGCTTTTGGCATTTCTAGAGGATATAAATGGTAAATGGCCTGTATTTATATAGCGCTTTTCTAGTCCCTAAGGACCCCAAAGCGCTTTACATATCCAGTCATCCACCCATTCATGCACACATTCACACACTGGAATAAAAACTTGAATGGCCCTAATTTTTTAAAAATGTAAACCAAGCAAAACAGAGGTGATTGTGTTTGGTCCTAGTGGACCTTGTGATTCCTTGTGCTTAAATGGTCTTGCCCCACCTTACCTCTCTGAGCTTCTTCATCCTTACTGAATGCCTAGGTTTCTCGGGTCAGCTGACAAGCTGCTTCTGGAGGTACCCAGGTTCAAGAGGAAGCTCAGACGGGACAGGGCCTTCTCTATTGCTGCTCCTAACCTCTGGAATAACCTGCCCTGCACACTAGAGAGGCCCCTTCATTGTCCATTTTTAAAACAAGTCTTAAACCCACTTCATTCCTTGGCTTATAACGCTGTTTGACCCTTATTTTACTGCTTTAATTTAATCTAATGTGCTGATATTATTGTTTTAATTTAATTTAATGCGCTTCCCATTTTTTGTTTGTCATGTCAAGTGTACGTACGGCACTTTGTTTTCAGCTGGGAGTTGTAGCTAATGCTAATAGCAAGTTCATTTAGCGAATGTAAAATTTAAAAAAAGACCTGTTCCTGAAGTATCTTTATGACTCTATAATTGTACCCTTATTGTCATTAATCCAGTCCTTCTGGTCCCTTAAATATATTTATAAACTGAGATGTTATATTTCTTTCATTTTCTGCTGCTCTCTTGGCTAGACCTCTTTAAAAACACATTTTAATGTCAATGAGACTTTGCACCTGGTTTGTTAGGCTGCATTTCTGTAGCCAACAGTCAGTGTTGGGGAGTAACAGAATACATGTACCGCCGTTACGTATTTAAAATACAAAATATGAGTAACTGTATTCCGTTACAGTTACCGTTTAAAAGGGTGGTATTCAGAATACAGTTACTTTGTTGAAATAAATGGATTACACTGCGGTACTTTCCTGTTTCATGTTGTCGCGGGTCAGGACTGTTTGGGTAGCGATTCATGGATGGGGTTAAATTTTACTACTGTAAATGCTTTAATTAAGTACATTAAATTTATAAATACAATAAATTTATTGTTGGTCATATCATATTTTTATTATATTACTAATGTGTGATGGACACCAGTCTTGTGAAGCAATCACTAGCCAATCTTAACAATTACTGTTGGCAGGGTTGGGAAGGTTACTTTTAAAATGTATTCCATTACAGAATACATGCCCCAAAATGTATTGGACCAAGTGCATGTGGCACCAGGACACCCTAGGCCGCTGGTTGATGATCGATTTTGTAATCATATCATCAGATTGAGTCCAAATGGACCATGTTCAGAACCTCCATTGCTGAAGCTGCTGCATTGAGCTGTGGCCACAAGGTAGTTGGTGTCTGTTGTGGTGACCTCTGAACCAGATGTTGAACACCAGAGGTGAAGGGAACCATCACTCTGAAGAAGGAGTCCTATCAGGCTTGGTTAGCCTGTGGGACTTTGGAGGCAGCAGATAGGTAACAACAGGCCAACCAGAACGCGGATCGGGCAGTAGCTAAGGCAGAACCTCGGGTGTGGGAGGAGTTTGGAGAGGCCACGGAAAAAGACTCTCTTGGCAAGCTATCATATCCTCTCTCTAGATCCACAAAGACGGTGCAACTCCATGTGACCTTCTCTATGCTTCTCTATCACTGAAAAAATAAAGTACACCTTTTGATTCTAAGTTTAAAAACTTGCTTCCACTCAACACTTTGTCTTCTACTGTGGTTTATCACAGGAGCGCCCCCATGTCAGGGACACCCTATTTGGGTTTTGTACAGCTTGAGCAGAGAGAGGAAGGTCTGTGTTCAGCTAAGACATATTTCACTTCTGCATTGTCATTTAAGTATCAGTGTGTTTTAATAACAGAATATTACGATTAATTTTCTTAACATCAGTCTTTTTGCATTGAGAGTTGTTTTTAGTCCCAGCTCTGTCACTGTTTTCTTGTGGAAACAAAGCGTGACGAGGTTGTGGTGCAACAGCACACGAGCCTGTAAGGACGGAGGGACGAATGAGGCTTGATTTGTAAAATATTTTTTTATTCTTTATCTGGTAGTTCATCTGTTTGAACAGCAGGTGGCAGTGCTACATAAAATAATACATGAGATTCAAACACACAGCAGCTCATGTGCTCAATCTGCTTCTAAATGCATTACAGCTGAGGGCTGCTCCAGACCAACAAGTTTATCTGCAATAACACAGCATTACATATTAGTCAATTTCTATTTTAAAATCTGTAAAATAATAAGTAACTCAAGATCAAAAGGTTTTTTTTAAATCATTAAGTTTGAATTTGACCGAGATATTTTCCAACAGAACCTGAAGAGGATTTGCACCAGATTATTATCATATATTTACAACTGTAGTTCATAATATGTTAGACATTGCAGGAAAGCCATCATGCTAAGAAACTACATAAGGAAAACAGAGGGGTTCAAGATCCATTGAAGACATGGAGAGAGCAGCCGTCAATGCCATTAGGCATAAAATCTGTAATATTAATAATAATAATAATAATAATAAATAATAATGATGATGATGATGGAGACTATATCTGACAATAACATATACTTCAGTGCGATATGTTGCTTTGTAGCAATCCCATCAACTATTATTCAAATGAGTTGTTTTAGGTACAAAAAAAATTCTAGTTATGAACGCAATATTCAAATTTGCAACAGAGGCTTTTCATGGTGCAGTATGACTGTTGTATTCAAGAAAAAGACTCTGTCTTTGTTCCTGGGCGTTTGTAATGAACTGTCTCTGGCCTGCTGGACCATAGTTGGAGAAACATTGCTGCTGAAGAGTCAGCGACCAGCGTCAGATCAGCTGTAAGCAGTGCCAGCTGCAGGAATAATCTCTGACCACTTCTGTAGTCTTGGACATAAACGATAACAACATGGAATTGCGACTGTAATGGCTAAATGCACAGGGATTCAGGAGATGACGGTGTTTCGATTAGATCAGTGACATGTTAAATACGTGAAGATTAGCTTTGAAACTGGAAACGGTTCCTCTGTTTTGTAGTCCCATGGAGGCAGGTGATTTTGAAGGGGTTTAGTTGGGATAAAATGTGTTTATGTGGTACGATGAATGTCAGATTCACGAGACTTCATCGTCAGAGGGCTTCTTATGGCACAGATTCCGTTAGTGTTAAAAAAACTTCTGACTTCTTTGTGAACATTAAAGAGAAATGGTAAATGGCCTGCATTTGTATAGCGCTTTTCTAGTCCTTAAGGACCCCAAAGCGCTTTACACTACATTCAGTCATCCACCCATTCACACACACATTCACACACACATTCACACACTGGCGATAGCAAGCTACATTGTAGCCACAGCTGCCCTGGGGCGCACTGACAGAGGAAAAATGACTCTTACACAAATGGAAACATGTCTAATGTTTCCGTGTCACACTTGTTCTACCTGTTGCTAGCTTTCTGTATCTCTGCCTTTCTCTTTCTCTCACTCTGTTCAAACACGTATGGCTTCTGACATCGAGTAGCTTTAAGCAGCCGGTGAATGCCTCTGTGGTGTGTGAGAATGTGCATCATGCACACGCGTGTGATGTTTGAGTATGTGTCGGTGAGAGGTTTTACACCGCTAATGGTTTCTTCAGAAACACGAGCTGGGTGTTTTATATAAATGTTATTTTTAGATGTAGATAAAAGGAAACTGCTGCTGAAATTGATTTGACACTTTCTGTAAAACCACTTCAGCTGTTTAGGTTGTCTGAGATAAGTGTGAGCATATATAATGATATGGACAGTGTGGCTTCACACACCACATTACTCATTCACTTTCTCTCACCATCATCAATCTGTATCTACTTGGACATTTGGAAAGACATTCCTTGAAACCTTCAAATGAAAAACTGGGAAGAAATATTGATCTTTCATTGAAATGATCAAACACATTATACATATTAGTAGCTGA